GGTTTCGACTGTTCGTTTTCTTTAAGATAATTTTTAATTTTGGGTTTTCGTACCCTTGTTTCTTTTGAGAATGCGCGCCCCATGGTTTTCTAAAAAGTGCAGCTTCAATTTTGGTTCACGTTTCGGTCCGGATTTCAAAAAAATAATATGATGTTGTTGTGGTGGGGGAGGCCCCCAAAACCTCGACTCTTCTACTGCTGGTATCACATCTTGTTTTTTGTATTGGGCCTTTCTATATTCATGTATAGGGTCTTAAATGGGCATAAAAAGCTTCACTTTATTCCTTATTTGGAATAAATAAAGTTCTGAGGGACCTGCTAAAGCTTTTAGTGATAAAGCTACGTTTTCAGAAACTCGAAAGATATAAATGTAATCTACTTGCTATTTATGTCGGTATTTCGCTATTTTCAATTCATCACTTGGAGACGACAAAATTGGTTCGAAAGTGCCTTGAAATATGCTCTTTGTAATCTATTCAGCTCATAGTAACAGTTGTCTTTTTCGTTGTTGGCATATACTATTGGATAGAGGTTTCTACTAGTAGGGTTCCGGACGAAATCAACATTCCTGTTTCCAACAAAAAGATATAATTTGTGCTCAAAATATTGGAGACACTCGTGGGGCCGTGCGTCCAGTCGTCCACAATCCAAATGACGCGGGAGCGTGGCTGAGAGCTCACGAGAGAGGTTGAGAGACCGAGGTCCCGCGCCCCGAGGGCCGAGGCCCCGTTTCCCGCTAGACTGTATTTAATTTACGACTCTCTCTCTCGGCGAGAGCGATCTATATATTTATTCACTTTTCTTGTTTTCTAAAGACGTTTTGTTATTTCTTTAGAGAACTTTACATATTTTGTTTAAAAAAATAAATATGTTGAGAATTATGACGCACATATAAAAGTCACAAGTCACAAGTTACAAGTCACAGGTCACAAGTCACAAGTCACAAGTCACAAGTCACAAGTCAGAAGTCACAAGTCACAAAGCAGAAGTCACAAGTCACTAGTCACAAGTCACAAGTCACAAGTCACAAGTCACAAGTCACAAGTCACAACCTCACAACACACACAAGCAAGAGAGAAGACAAGAGTGATCAGTGATCAGTCATCAACTGGGAATCACAAGACTGCTGGGCTGGCTGGGGAAGAGGTGGGGGCTGGGGGGGGGGTACAGTACTATTCACTATTCACATCACAGTTCACAAATCGTGTATTTTTAAATTAACAATAATTATATTTTACTTTAGTAAAAAAACACAAACAAAAACGTGTACGTAAATAGTATGTACACTTGTACAGTGGTTATGTAAAATTGTAAATACGACTCTTTTACTTTTTTTGTCTTAAAATAAAAAAATTATATAATACACATCTCAGTTTTCTGTTTTCAATCACGACTTCACTAATCACTCAACTCTCAAGTCACGTGCGAGATATATGCGATAACTGTCGTGGCCCGTGAGAGAGTGAGACGGGACAGTGGAGTTGTCAGTTGTCACTTGTTGTCAGTTGAAGTTGTCAAAAGTCACTCGAGTCTCCACTCTCGAGTCTTTTTTACCAAGAGGGGGTAGGCACTAGGCAGGCACACGTACCACAACCAGCTATTGGGGGTTTTTTTTAATAAATAATATTCAGGCCAGCCGCCAGCGGGCAGCGGACCAGCCGGTCATCCCAGATCCCCAGGCCTCAAACAAAAAGCTAAACAAAACAAAAAAAACAAGAAGAACCTTGTATACACCTAATCAATTTTTTTAGTGTTTTGTTTTTATTAATATTTTTAAAATTTAGAAGGCTATGGTTTTGCCCAAGTGGTGAATGCTAACCTGAGACCGTTTTCCGTTAAAGCCTTTATAAATCGAATAAATATACGTTTACGTTTGACTTACGTTTAACTTTTATTCTATATGCGGTCCTTTGTATGCTCATAGGTGCCTACTAAACATTTAAGTGTGTACTGTTTTCCATACGAACTAGACCTGTAAAAGAACTTAGGTAGGCCCTTCTGATCACATTATAACCGTTGTAACGTTTTGAAATTTATACGTTCAACTTCTATCCCGTACCCCCATAGCGTTATAAGCTAAGCTGTACAGTGCACAGTGTACATTGTACAATAACCCTAAATCCTAAAATCGGGCTCTCAGGTCGCCTCATGTTTTTTAGCAACATGTTTATGCTACCAGCCAGTAATATATAATTATATATGCCTTCATTTTACTCTTATTTTAATCTCAGACTACATTCTGCAGAGTACAGTCGCTATAGTGTAGTACATACATTAGTACAGAGAATCTGAGAAAGTAGAAATTATGGCTTGAGGCCTAGGTCGCTGAGGGGCGCAGCCGCGCAGGGCCCGGGCACTCGCGCAGGCTAGGTAGGCAGCAAGGCCCCCTACTCCTCTCTACTCTCTCTAGCTATTAGTAGTAGGCCCCACCACCCCCCCAGTAGCCCAGTCCCCACCGGCCCACCTTAGTAGTCAGCACGCAGCTGTCAGCACCCCCGTGTCGGCGGATTGGCTGGGGGACTACTACTACTAGCAGCAGTAGGCCCTGGGGGCCTGGGGGGTAGTGGGGCCTATTTATTACTCGCTCTCCTGTAGTTACTAATCTCAGTGAGACTCAGAGACTCAGACTCTTTCTCTCTAGTATTTTTAACAGTTATTACTATATCAAAAATAGTAGTACTGCCTGTCTGCCACTGGACGTCTGCCATCTGGATACTTTTTATTGTCATCACTATATACCAATTTTAAAAATAGTATTGATTTAATATTTTTGTATTGTAAAAAAATGAGAAACAATTGACCCTGGGGGCCTGTGCCTGAACTTCTGAAATTGTCTTGAACTCTCTGATATTTAGAGTTTGGAATTCGAAAAAATGGGGGTTTTTTATTTTGTATTTAAAAAAAAAGTGTATAATCAAAGTGAAGAATATAAAACCTCCCTTTTTGTTAAAAAAATTATATTAAAGGAGAAATACTATTTCTTTTTGCAAGTAAATATTGTATATAGTCTGTATACAAAGTGTTGTATTTTTTTATAGTTTATATTCGATCTTTATTTTTTTGTGTTTTTGTTTAAAAAAAATAAAACAAACAAAAAAACAGTCGATTAGTAGACAGTATAATTTGTTTAAAAAATAAAGAAGCTAACTCATGAGTCAGGGGCTTATAGTCATAGCTGTAAAGATATAGGGTTTTTGGATAGTGGACAGTTGGACACAGGACAGTAGTGAGTGGACTGTGGGTTGTGGAACTATGGACTGTAGACTGTATTTCGAGTGTAAAGGAATAGAGATAGGGGATTCGGGTCTCGGGAGTGGGGACTGGTCACTGGAGATTGGAGAAAGCTATTATTTACTAAATAGAGCACATGTGTATAGTAGAGAGAGAGAGACCTGGCGTGCGTTCGACTGATTGTTTGGGTTTTTTACTTTCCAAAGAATAGCAAAAACAAAACATTTATGTCGTAAACTTTTATTTGTTGTTATTTGTTATTGTTTTAAAAAAACACCGCCCAAAAAAACCAACTAACCAGTAAATATGTGTGTTTCTACAGGTATACGCCTTCTATTTGCAACTAACAAAATATCAATTTTTGTGCTTTTATTTAAAAAAAACAAGGAGCAGACAAAAGACCACCCCTTCGGTGAGTCCGGGCCCTCCCTCAGCGAGCTCTTTGCTCTTTAAAAATAAATATTTACTGAGTCATACCCAGGGGCCAGAGAGTAGAGGCCCAAAGCCCAGAGGCTACCACTGAGTCCTGCTATTTTTATTTTTTCACTTCTGTCGAAAATATAAAGCATGCATTTCCATGGAAATCCCTTTTCGTAACGTATGATGAAAAGTTGCAGTGTCCCTGAGTCTCTGGCTCTCTGCACTGTCTGCAGTCTGCCCTCGCCACTTCTTGTTGATAGAGCACAACTCTGATCCTCAGAGGTTCAGACTTCAGATACAACAAGGGCTTTGTAGTTTGTACGAATAAATAAAGATTTAAACATCTCTGATTCTTTTCCCGCTAAGATACATATATTTACACACAGACACACACAGATATATGCGTGAATAATGATTATAGCCTCCTAACTTGAACAGCTATGGAATAATATTTGAATAGAAAGTCAGAAACACGGACACGTACGTGCTTCACACAATTTTGCATCTAGTTAGTTCGTTTACAAGTTAGCCTGCAAACCTACACAATTGTCTGCCGCCTATGTGTACGTCATAGCCGTCGCAGAATGAAATCACACATGATCTCGTTCCAACACTTGCGTATCGAAATAGAAGTGCTAACAACAGAAGAAGATGAATCATCGATGCTTGTTTTGCTACAATCTTGCATAGCGTAGAGGATAACTGTTTATAAGGAGACAAACTGTTCTAAGTTCTCAACATTCCGATAGCCCTCATACGCGTACTATGTAAGCATATGCATTGTATGAATATATATATAAATAAAACAAATTGATCGATACAAGTTTATATATTTCTGATATGATATAAGACATGCCATTCACAGAATGTAGCCGACTATCCTAATATTTCGAGCGTCAAGTAAGAGCTCACTGCAGAAGACTCCGAGCTTCCGACACTGACATTCGCTGCGTTGGATCAATACAAAGCAAACCGCTCACGATTTGAGACATCCTTGTTGAGAGTACGGACCAGTAGTTGACAGCGCCAAAACCAGTAGAACTGGCAAATTCACTATCTGCTACGGAACATTTGGTATAGCGAAGAAACTCATCGCAGTTGGAGTTCGCCTCGGTAAAAGGAAAAGCACCAGTCAATACAGAATATATAAATATCCCTAAAGCCCACGCATCCACGGCCATCAGATTGCATTTGCTTTGTCGTGCCATTGTGTAAAATTCCGGAGCCAAGTATGGTATTGAACCTACCATGAAATCATCTTCGGTCATGACGTGTATTCTTTCCTCGTTATCCAAAAAGAGGCATGAGCCAAAATCAATTACTTTTACGAACCCATCATTACCAACACATACATTCTCGGACTTGATGTCACGGTGGACTATGCCCTTATTATGCATGTGAACCAGCGCTTCACATACGCCGCTTATAGCAATCACAGCTGTAGACTCGTGCAAGCCTCTATGCACTGGTATGTGTTCTAGAAGATCTCCATGCTCGTAAAGTTCAAATATAAGAGCGGGGTTACTTATGCCCGAGGTTTGTCGACTATTTACACACGGCAACTCGACCCCAAGAAAGCGGCCAACATTTACGTGACCGTCAAGCTTTAAATGAGCTGTTATTTCCCTTCTCATTGCCGTTGCTAGCGTTTCCGCAGTGTGGCCCGCTATGCTGAGCTGTTTCACTGCCACTCTTTGATTCGTCTGTGGGTTGTAACCGGCATATACTACAGCTGTTGATCCATCTTGCAGAGCCTTCGTGAGCACATGAAACCCAGCAGGATACCTCGATAAACTATTAGTCAATGAAGATACTATCCTTGGCTCTGACACTGTACAATCTGTCTGTTGAATTGTATGCGTTAGGGTGCCTGCCACTGTATTTGAACTTGGTTCTATCATAGTTGTCATTATGGAATTCTTGCAGTGTTCGGTTTAAATTGTTCAGAGGTTGGAATCGAAATAATGCTATGTTACTCCTAGGTATCCACGCATATATAAAAAAAAACACTGGCTACGCAACCAAAATTTGAAATAAATATGTGAAAAAGACTTGTGATTACTTGTGAACATTCATATTTTCTCGAAAATTGTTGGTCGAAAAAACGAAATAAAAAACATCATCGGGTGGAAGGAATTTGTAAATACAATTTGGATTTTGGACCTTTCGCTTCTCACAGACTCTCGGTCTCTCTCTGAGTGTTTGAATCTCTCTCTCGATTCTCTTCTCTTTTCTCTTCTCTTGGTGTGTGTGTGTGTGTTGGGTATGCAGTATTTTTCTTAAAAAAGCACCGAAAATATTTTAGATGATGGAAAAGATAAAAAAGGTACCAAAATAAAATATAAAAGGACCATTTTCTTCAAATCCATTAATGCACATTGCCCGCACATATTTGAACAATACAATGCGCTCCTTTCACTTTTTTTACACACACAAGAGTTAAAGAGAGTAGACACTCACTGGCAATAAATAGTTCTACAGAGAAAGAGTACAGCATAAATAGATGCTTGTTTTTGTAAAACAAAACGATAAAAGAGAAGGTTAAAATATAGTACAATATAGCCTACGGCCAAGAATAATAAACCTCAGGAGTCAGGGCACACAAGTCACAGCAGTTCACTCAGCGAGTCAGCAGTCAGCAGTCAGCACTCAGCACTCAGCATCAGTCACTCACTCAGCCGCAGCAGCAGCGGCTATTTTATATATACAAATATGCAATATTTCCTGTGGCGAACCGGCGGCTGGCAGCCCTTTTGAAAAACGGGAACTTTTATAGATTTGCTTTCTATAAAACAAATTTTCTTTAAAAAAGAGTTCAACTATAATAGCTATTTATTTTATATAGATTACTACAATTTATCCATAATATTGGGCTCTGCGACTCTGAGAGTTTTGGCTTCTCTACATATTTGTTTCGTTTAAAAAAATCTTTAAGAATATGTTCGATGTGAAAAAAAAAACACAATAAAGATAAAAATATGTGAATTTTGATCCGCAATCAGCCTATCACGGATTTCGTGGCACGAAGTTTTACTTTCCAGTTTTCAACGATATAAAAATTATAAAGGGGTTAAAAAAAGGGACTCCGGACAACTGATCAAGAAGAAGTCAGATTGACAGAAGTGCGAATTTTCAGTTTTTCACAATTTGACTGAAATATATATTTGCTCCGAATAACTGTTTAAAAACCCTTTGTTTCAATAGAACTTTTAGAGTAATAAAAGTTTGTTTCATTTGTTGCTTACTTTTTGTAAAAGAAAAAAAAACGATTATGTTTTGCTATTTGGTTTGATTAAAAAAAAACAAAACAAAAAACAAGAGAAGTAGGCTATGAAACAAATATTTGTAACAAAATGAACCGGACAGTTTTTCTTCTTCAAATACTGGCTCTGATCTGAATTCTGGAAGTAAGCACCTGCCTGATATACAGGGGAGGACCCAGTGATTAAAATTAAAGTTGAATGTTTTTCAAAAAAAAGAAGAAGAGGGAGAATGCTTTCTTTAAAACGCATTGGTATATATATATAAATATTTATATATATTTAAATATATAAATATAAATATATATAAAT